ACCTTTAGTTACAAAGAAAAGATTGAGCCGATTTTTTATAATCTTAATATTAGTAAAAATAGCATTTTAAACCTAGTACTTGTAATGTTCAAATTCTCTTTCAGACAATTAATTAATTTTGGTAATTTGTTCACAATTGTATCATTTAATTGATTTTGCAATTGTTGATAAATAAATAAACCTCTCGTAAAATAATAAAAAATAACAAGCTGTATTTATTGAACAAAAATATATTATGTATTTCAATATAATTTCATTCATTAACAATATTGAACATGCTCTCCTAAAATTTCTTCTGTCATATTTGAAGTCAAGACCATGAGCGGTGCAGCTAAATAATTTTCATTATTATTAATAATAATCTCATAAGTATTTGGATCCAGCAAGTTGTTATCAATAATAGGTTCTTCAAAAATCTCTGCATCTTTGATTATGAATTTTGGTCCTTCATCTGTGTCTGTCCTGATCTCTTCTTCACTTTCATGAGCACTCTTCATGTGCATCTTAAGCCTTAAACATAATATATTTAAAATATTATTTTGCTATGAAAGTATATTCATAACAAAGCTTCTTGATTATTCAAAAAAAAAATATTTTGCCATGCAAGTGAAAATTGATAACATGATTGTATACTGCTTTACAGTACAGTATAATATAACTGGTTTAATAAAAATTGTTGTATATAAAAAATCAACCTCAATATATTTGTAATTATTTATCAAATTATATCATACCTTCCAGACTGTGTATAAGAACGACCACATATATTGCATAAATACGGCCGTTCTCCAGTATGTATTACCATATGACTAATTAGAGATTGTTTAAGAGTAAAACTTGAGCCACATGATTGACATTTAAATGGTTTTATACCTATAATAAAGTTTAAATAGTATTAATAAATAAATCAGATTGTGAAAATACTATATCTTTCCTGATATGCTCATGGTGTATCAGAAGAGTTTTGAAAAAAAAAAAGACTATATAAAAATCTTACAACATACGAACCTTGGTGTATTTTTTCATGAGAAACTAAACTTCTCTTAAAGTGAAATTTTTTATCACAATATGAACATTGTAAATGTTTTTGCTCTGAAAATATAGAAAAAATTAAAATGAAAACAACAAGTTAATGTCCTTAGAAGATTTCTTAGTTATAGAATTATATTACTTCATCTTATACCATAAATAATATAAATAATGTAATGAATTTCTAATTTTAAGATGAATAGAAAAAAATTTAGATCTATGCAAATACAAATATTTCTGGCAAACTATTTACCTGAATGAGTAATTAGATGTTGTTTTAAATGAGAAGGTCTAGGAAAATTTTTGCCACATGTGTCACAAGTATATGATTTTCCATTGTGTATTGTGAGATGGGTTTGTAAAGTACTATATTGAGCAAAAGCTTTATCACAAAATGAACATTTATAAGGCCTTTCGCCAGAATGAGTTCTTGAATGCGATTGCAAATGATCCCAGCGAGAAAAACTTCTATCTTTAATATAATAAAAAAATATTACTTAAAATTAAATTAAATGTCATGAAAATGCTTTTAATCATAAATATGAAAATAAATAAATAATACTTACCACATATTGGACAAGTATGTTTAGCGTCTCCCCTATGTAATTTCATGTGGCTATCAAGAGAGTCAGAACTCGAAAGAGATTTTCCACAAGTGTAACACAAATACAGTGTTTTATCAGTATTATCAATATTATCAGTATTGAAGCAAGTTCTTTTCTTTATATGGAGTGCTCTAGCACTGCTGGAGACAAATTTTTTCAAACAATTCGAGCATTCAAATGGCTTCTCACCTAAGTGAATATTATATATGGTAATACATGTTACTTCATAATTATAATATGATAATCTAAATGATATTGAAAACCGATAGCAATAGCGTTTTCCTGATCAACAGATAATAGAACTTAAATTCTACATTTTATGAATTGCAAATGCTATAACTATTATAATATCTTCAATGCGTAAAACCGACCCTTTATGTCTTCTGGTATTTGAAACTTATTTAAATCTGAATTACAAAATAATTTCTAGAGCTATAGAGTAGTATTAAAAAGGATTCGAAATATGAATCACTTATTGAAAATTATTATTTTTGTCACATATTAGTAACATTTCAATGAACACATGAATCATCACATCAAAAGCATATAAATATGAATATCAAACCTTCAAATATTCAAATAGTGATTCCACATCATATTCACCTGTATGCATTCTTTTATGTGCAGTATAAGAACTTGAATGAGCAATTTGTAAACCACAAATAGTACATAAATATGGCTTTGCAGTGAGTTCCTGGTTTTCAAGATTACCTTCTGAATGAAAGCCAATATTAAGTACTTCATTATTTACCAATTTTATAAATAAATACTTACTCGTATATTCAGTTTTAGAAAAATACTTTCTTAGCTTTCTTTCAGAGTTATGAATTTTCAATCTAAATGTGTTCAAACGCTTTAATTCTCTTATACACTTTAAACAAATTTGTTGAGGTAGATCATCATCTTCTCTGTACTAAATAAAAAAAAGTATGATAAGAAAAAGTGTCATTAATCCGAACTTTTATAATAATCAGTATAACTATCAAATTATTGCTGAAAGTTTATTAATATGAATTAGAACTTTCTATTATAACATTTGTTTTTTTTTTTTCAAATATTCATGAAAGAAAAATATCCAAGCATTACCTTTGTATTTGTAAAAGACATTAATATTTTCAATATGTCTTTGTTTACATCTTCAAAAAGATTCTTCATATTTTCACATTGAAGCGTACATATGCGACATATAAGTGTTAATTGGGACGTACTCTACGAACATAATTCAATTTTTATATTATTTATTAGATATTATTTAAAAATAGATATAATAATACATGTTGTTACTAACCTTGTTAGTTTCAAGCATTTTGTTGTCTTGGGTTCTATTCATATTTGAGTAGTATAAAATACTGATATTGAAAATATGAAATATTCAATAATCATCTGACTAGTAGTAAGATGAGTTTAGTTAATAAATTTAATATTAATATTCCTCAAGCTCATTTATTAAAAGCTCATATCGTTTTAATTATCCTGTTAATGATAACTTATTTGTTATGATATGTTTATGATAGTTACTTCTCAATAGAATTTTTTTTATCTATTTTTCATTAATTAGTAAAAATAAAGTTTAATCATCACCTGGTTATTAATGTTGTTTTAAGTAATCTAAGCAATTATTATATTGTCTAGGAATCTAGTATGTTGACAAATAAATACAAATAGTTGTCAAATTTGATCAAGAAGAAATAGGGTGCATTCGACTTGGACGCTTACGCCTTATATTGTCTAGGGCTTACGCGCTGTGAGCGCGCCGTGAGCGCGCTTTCATCGTTCGACTTGGCGCTGTGAGTGTCACATAAGTACGCTCGTAGCATCATCGTAGGATGCTCGTAGCACATATTTTGCGCTCACATACGCTCACGCCACAGAGGTAGGGCAGCGTGAGCGTGAGCGTCAGTTGTTTTTACTATCTGTCATTTCATTTGTTTATTAATTGTCAAATTCTTTATAATTCCGCAAAAATGGCAAGCTGTAGATCACAATTATTTTTTAATATTAATATTGATATTAATTAATTTTAAATTTAATTAATTTTAAATAATTTTAAATTTCAATTCTAATATTACTATTAATTAAGCATAAGCTGACCAAATTTCATTTATTTATTAATTGTTAAATTCTATATAATCCCGCAAAAATGCCAAGTTGTATATCACATTTATTTTTTAATATTAATATTAATATTAAATAATTTTAAATTTTAATTTTAATATTACTAATAATTAAGCATAAGCTAACCAAATTTCATTTATTCATTAATTGTTAAATTTTTTATAATCCCGCAAAAATGCCAAGTTGTATATCACATTTATTTTTTAATATTAATATTAATATTAATATTAATTAATTTTAAATTTAATTAATTTTAAATAATTTTAAATTTTAATTTTAATATTAATATGAATTAAGCATAAGCAAACCAAATTTCATTTATTTATTAATTGTTAAATTGTTTATAATCCCGCTGAATGATCCAGAAAGTAATAAAATTTACACAATTACCGTTACCGCCAGTTGCCGCCATTTTGATGCTTATTGACGCTCACAGTTTCCAAAACGAACGGAATTTAGTTATCGATTCTGAGCGCTTATCGGCCAAGTCGAACGCTAAAAATTCGTGCTTATAAGCGTGAGCGCTCACAGCGCGTAAGCGTCCAAGTCGAACGCACCCATAGTTATTCTCTGTTGGCGACATTGAATGGACTGCAGTGTCGTATCTTTATTTAATTATTCTGTGGTTTTCTGAATAAATCTATGAACTAAGCTTTGTTCAAAAATATACGTCAACCGTCATCATCAAACTATCTTTTGTTAAAACGACGAATGTTTTGAGTTTTCGTCATTTATTGAAGTTACGCAAAATTTGAATTAATACTTTACTAATGGCTCAATTCAATTATTTAAATGAATTCAATAATATTATGTCACTTGACGGTGCTATAACAAAGGGACCGTTACCTAGATGGCAAAAGAAAGAACTGGATGCTTCGACCAGCAGTTCTAGCGGTAATATTTCTCGACAAAAGTTGTCCAAGAGTCAGCTGTGTAATTCTAGTAGCACAACTTCTAAAACACCTAACAAATATAAACCTGGAGGCAGTAAGAAGACACCTTCAAAAACACCAAAGAAGTCCTCTGGCACACCGACTCCAGGTAAATTGACAAAAACACCTGGAGATGTAGGTGATCGTTTTATCCCTTCAAGGGCTAACTCCAATTTTGAACTAGGGCATTTCAAATTTAATCAACAATCTAGTCAAGAGAATGGCGAAGATCAAGTGGTATCCAGTCGGGAATCTGAGATGCAGAGACTCGTCAATAACGCATTAGGTAATAATCCTAACCAAAGAATTTTAGCATACTCAAATAAAGCACCAGCTGCTCCTGATTCTCATCAAAATCCTCTAAAGGTGGTTTATTCACAATCACGTACACCTGCAAGTGCTAAAGCAGGTTCCAGGTACATTCCTCATGCCCCAGATAGAATATTGGATGCCCCTGAAATAATTGATGACTACTATTTAAATTTACTGGACTGGAGTCCTGATAATGTATTAGCTGTTGCACTAGGCAATCAAGTATATTTATGGCATGCTGAATTTGGCACCACGGAAGAATTGTTAGGGTATGAAGGTAATGAACATGCATGTTCTTTAGCTTGGGTTGGTCAAGGCAATCATTTAGCTATAGGAACTTCTGAAGGTAATGTAGAGGTATGGGACTGTAATCATATGAAACGATTGCGTGTTATGAGTGGACATGGTGGTCGAGTTGGATCTTTGTCGTGGAATAACTATGTTATAACTTCTGGCAGTCGCACTGGTCACATTATTCACAGTGATGTTCGACAGCGTGAACATCTTATTTCCAATATTGACGCTCACGATCAGGAAGTCTGTGGATTAAAATGGTCTCCAGATGGCAGATATTTGGCATCTGGTGGAAATGATAATATTTTAAATGTATGGTCTGCTGTCAGAGGCCAATGTTATGGAGAAACTACTCCTGTACATGTTTTCAATTCACATCAAGCAGCAGTCAAAGCTATTGCGTGGTGCCCTTGGCAAAATAATATTTTAGCAAGTGGAGGAGGCACTGCTGATCGTTGTATAAAAATTTGGAATGTCAATACAGGAACTAGTGTTAGCTCAACAGATACCCACAGCCAAGTTTGCGCTCTGTGTTGGGCACCACAATATAAAGAATTAGTATCAGGGCATGGATTTACTGACAACCAGTTAATCATCTGGAAATTCCCTGCTATGACGAAACAGGCTGAATTAAGAGGGCATACTGCCAGAGTTTTGAATTTAGCGCTTTCTCCAGATGGTACAACAATCATGAGTGCTGGAGCTGATGAAACTCTAAGATTATGGAAATGCTTTGTACCAGATCCATTGAAGAAAAAGTCAGGCGTTGAAACTTCGAAACAGAGCTTAATTTTGAGACAATGCATTCGGTAATTATTTGTTTTAACTAGCATAACCTAAATTGTTTTTAGCATTAAATTGTATGGTATTTTATTTATATATGTAATTTTATTGTGTAGTTTAATTTTGATTTATTTTAACAAATAACTATAATATGTATACTTTTTAATGACTGAATATATAGCTTTTCTTCATTTTAATTCTTAAATTTGTTAATTAAATAGATATGTTGTATTATTAATAATGAGTGTAAATATAATAATCTATGTAATAAGAATAAATGAATCTTATATCACTAAACTGGAGTATTATATATTTCTTTAATTATCAAAAATATATCAATATATTTTAATTATTGCTTTAAGATACTGGTTTATATACATTTAATCTAAAAAAATATTCTTAATGGCATTAAAATAAGTTTTAGTAAATCAATTTATTTATTGTGAGTTTTATCATAAGTATTTTTATGTTTATAGCCCTGAACATATCCGTCGTTGCTAGTTGAATCTTCGCGGCCTGCTTTGCCCTTACCTTTGCCACTTCTATCGAAACGTTGGGCATGTGTTCCAGTGTAAGTTGATGGGTCTGTTAGTCTTTGCAACGCACTCGTCACTTCAACGATCTATGTTATTTCAGAAAAGAAAACAGTTTTATTAGAAAATATCTTTTGTCCTGGAAGAGTCCTGGATTTTTTTCCTGGACTCTCGACTTTTTGTATAAGCAAAATTTTTCCCAGATGGTCCCAATTTTTTGAAAAGGGTTTTATGTTCAAAATATATTTCTACTAAATTATTTACAAAATTTGAACCGAAAAACCAGTGCATATCAGAACTCGCAACTCGAATAGATACTCTAAAAGCGATATTATTTATTATTCGCTATTATTTACATTTACATAATTATTTGTAGTAATATTTTTTAATGATTGATGCAAAATCTTAGAGAACTAATTGCTATCTAATAATTACCCCTGAAGTAAACTTTACTCCATCATTTAAAGTTTGTTAAAACAAAACTTTTAGTATCAAGAAGAAATAATATGAAATAGTTTATTTACAGTGGCACCTGCTGCAAGTCCAGGCATACCGCTATGTTTTAATTTTGCTTTTATTTCTTTGGAATCAACATTTTTAGACAGTGCTAGATCATCTATGAACTTCAAGTAATTTTCGAAGGTCAGAGTTCGAGATCTAATTTAAAATATACGTTAGCATATTCATCATTTAAACTTTTTTTTTTATTTTGGAACGATTATAACTTGAATTTTCCAAAACAAATGCCAGTGTCTGTTGTTGTTATCTCTTTACCAATAACTTTTGCTTGTTTCATCCATTTATCAGATTGAGTTAATGTTATAGTTTCTCCATTAGATCTCGTATCGCCAAATTTTGAATATGCTGCAAAAAGGTGTTGAAGTCGTGACATTTTAATGGGGCATCGTACACGGAGTTTTGGAAAATAAAATGGAAAAGAATTTAACTTGTATTGAACATCATTTTGTATTGTGAAAAACAATTGGAATTTGTTTTATATTGCAAATGATTTGATTGACATTTAAAATATAAAAGAGTAATGTTTTTTTTTTTTATATTTAAAAAAAATAAGTGAAATTAATTTTGTTATATAAATATAACAAATATATAAATTATGATGTATAACATGCTCATCAGATCATAAAAATGAACAAGTCATAATTATCTAGTCTAGCTAATTGCACACAACTATCTTTAAGGTAATTGTCAGCAATTTTTCATTGCAATTGAAGGTAGTAATCAATTGAACATTTATTTATGGTACGCTATCTTGTTTATAATTCATAACAATATTTTTTCTTATATATATGCCATGATACATAATTTTTGTTCTTTGTCATTAGATGTTATTAAAAAATACAAATTTAAATATTATTATTATGCTATTATTCTTCTATATTATTTTTATATAATTTAATTCTTAAATTATTTTATACACACAGAATTATAATATTTTTTAAAATCATAAAGTACTTCTATATTTTTATATTACTTATATATTTTGCTAACCATGGTTATAGTAAGAATAAGAACTAAAAACATTTATAGTGAGAATAATTGCAATTAATTTAATTAATTAATTTTCATATTTTTTTAATTTATTTAATTTATTCATAAGAAATCCGTAATCAATAATAATAAATATTTTTTTAGGCTCTTGTCAAGCAAATTATTCTTACTATAAACAATGTTTTTAGTTTTTAGGTCTGAACAATTTTTTAACAATGTATTGTATATAGAATCATTTAGTATTAATAGAGTTTAATTAACTATTATACTTTCATTTTACTATAATTTATTAGTTTTTTTCTTTTTTTAGTTTTTTTTTTTATAATATTAAGATAACCCACTGAGGGTAACTACTAATTTGTAATCAACTTTTTACCATACACTTTTCAGCATTCTCTGCTCAATGTAATAATATATACAAATTGCAAAATAAAATTGAATTGATACATGTATAACTATCTGTAATTGCTATGTATATACTATATTTTCGGGAGAAAAGTTCAATATATGTGGTATTTGGAATTTGGATTCAATTACTTCACGCATAATGTTATATTCATGCAAAAATACATAGATAAAAGCATAGATAAAAGAAGAGTATAAATATAAGATCATAATTATTTTACATCGTCCTGAACAATTCTCAAACTCTCCATGTAACTTACATAGTCCATGGCACTTTTTCTAGAATGTTGCCTCTCTGCAGAGCCGGCTAATGATGTGGCTTGCTTGTTGCTTGTCAGCTTGACAGTTCTTTGACGTTTTCAGTCTTATACATACCTAGTGTAATGATGTTTTCTATTTATTTATAATCAAAATTAATTTGTCTGTCGTTAAGTAATTTATTTACAGCTTTTTATCTATATTTCTTTAAATTATAATAACTGTAAATCTGTGATACAATATTTAAATATTATTTTATTATCAAGTGCAACCAGAAGGACTTAATACTAATAATAGAAATATAATGACATTGAAAGTTTTTAATAAATAACACAGTCGCTTAATAGATTATTTCGTTATGGATCGTTCATCAGATTTAAATGATCCTTTGTCAGATTCAATGAAAGAGTGTTACGAAAACTTAATCCTTATCGATATCGGAGCGAATCTTACGAACAAAAAATATAGCCGAGACTTAGAATCGGTTATTCAAAGAGCGAAAGATGCAGGTAATATTTATTTTTTATTCTTCTTCATATTGTGATTTGGTTTTAAGTACATTTAAAAAAATAGGTGTGCAAAAAATTATGTCTACCGGCACATCTGTCCGAACAAGCAAAGAGGCTTTGCGTTTGTCAAGACTCTTTCCTGGAACAATTTACTCGACTGCAGGTAGGAAATTTAGGAAATTCATAAATTATTAGCATTATTCAGTATTTACAGTATTTTAACTATTTAGAATTATTTATACTAAGTACATTAGTTATTTGAATTTTAACAGTAGGACAGTCTTGTACACAAATATTATATAAATTACAAAAATATTTACTAAACTTATTTTTGATAATGAAAATGGAAGGTGAAACACGTATATAATTTAAGTATGGATTGCTAGAAAATAACATATAATTAAACTCCCAAAGCTAATTATTCAGAAAACTGTGGAATGTCTGTAACAAATCAGCTGTTTTACACATAAATTTCACTTACGTAGAATTTATTCTATAATTTGTTGATTAACTATCGAAGCTCAGAGTCCAAAGGCCAATTGATTGTTTGCTATTTATTAATTTTAATTTTTTATTCTTTTTCACTACAACTATTTACATTTATTTCACATTATATAAAAAATATAAATGTGATCTAATTCAATCTAAACAAATTGTCTAATATATATTTAAAGCATTTCAATTCTTATTTGAATTGCATGGATCATCTTATAAGAAGCTTGAAAAGGCCATACGTGTCGAAATTGAAATAATCTAATTGAATTAGAGAACTTCGAGTTAGCAAAATGGAAGGCCTAGGGCCGTTTCAAATATTCGAAATATATTTTTGTTAAAACTGTATTGAAAGTACAGTAACTGCTAATCCAATTAAAATCAATTAAAATTATTATAGGTAACAAAGATTTACTTTAATTCTTAGTAGCAACGAAATAAAATATTCTAATGCGAAAAAGTCACCCTTATAAATGAAGGCATTTCAATGAGCTTCATATTTATATGCTTATAATTTTTATTTCACATTATATCAATTATTTTGAAATGCTTAAATTAGGTAAGAATTTCGGAATTTGAGATACCCAGCTGTAAGTCTATAAATATTTGGACGCCCTTGGAAAAGTTGTCGCAAAACCTACATATGTTGCGTACACCCTATAATATGTAGGTTTTGAGAAACTTTTAGGGCAGCGATTTCCAACCTGTGGGGCGCGCCCCCCTGGTGGGGCGCGGTGCCGTCCCAGGGGGGAGCGCGAAGCTCTTTCAAAAATATGGTTGTTAAATGCTGAGTAAGTGTCAAAAACAAATCAGCAAAATGTATGCAAGTAATCTACAATTTTCGCTGCAATTTTGTCAGGACAAATGTAAAAGCATGAATATACTATACTTTTGGTGCATTCAAAATATTTCGTTTCTGCGTTTGTAGTTGAGTGAGCTGTAGGCCTATAAACAAAAGATAAACACTCGGATCATATCGAATATTCACGTGCTTACTCGAGACTAACTTAAGTAAATAAACAAAAGCATCCTTTTTATTCTGTTATCTATAAATCGAATTAGTTCATTAGTTGTGCTGGAGATACACGCGTTGATATATAGAAAAAATCATTTCTAAATTATTATTGAGTTAAAATTTATAGCTTTAGTTTTAGCACATTATTAGCCAGGAATTATTGTGAAAAGTAGTGAAAAAGTGATTTTCTTTGATTTGTTATAAAAACCGTTTGTAATGGATAAATACGTGACTTGGTTGAAAAGAAAATTGAATGAAGCAGAAGAAAAGGGTGGTGAAAATAATGGAAATGTTTCTTCACAAAATAGTAAAACTAAACATAGAAAATATGATCCAATGTACTTATCATTGGGATTTACGTATAAGATCATTAATGGTCAAGAACGACCAATGTGTTTGCTGTGTATGAATACTTTGGCCTCAGATAGCATGAAACCAAGTAAATTAAAACGACATCTGGAAAAAGTGCACGCCGATCATGTTGGCAAAACAAAAGAATTTTTCCAAAGAAAATTAGATAACTTAAATAAACAGAAAGAATCGTTTTCAAAAGCTTTGTCTGTATCACAAAAAGCGTTACTTGCGTCATACAAAGTTTCGTATAGAATTGCTAAATGCAAAAAACCCCATTCAATAGGAGAAACTTTAGTACTACCAGCAGCTATTGACATAATAGCTACGATGTTTGGTGAATCATATGCTGATCAAATTAAAAGCATTCCGCTGGCAGATAATACGGTGGGAAGACGAATATCAGATATATCTGATGATCTTTGCGATCAGTTGATAGAAAAAATTAAATTATCTTCTTTCGCGTTGCAAGTAGATGAGGCTACCGATGTTGCTAAGGATGCACACTTAATAACATATATAAGATATGTTATGGAAAATGATATTAGAGAAGAGTTGTTATTCTGTAAGGCAATTGAAGGCAAAGCTACGGCGAGTGAAATTTTTAATATGATTGATAACTTTTTTATTGAAAATGGTATTTTATGGGAGAACTGTGTTGGACTGTGCACTGATGGAGCTCCATCTATGGCAGGAAAAAATGCTGGTCTGCAGGCCCTAGTTCGAAAAGTGGCTCCTCGTGCAGTTTGGACGCATTGTATGATTCATAGGCAATCTCTTGTTGCAAGAAATATGGGTGAAGAATTACTTGAAGTATTTGAAATTATAATAAAAGTTGTTAATTTTATCAAAATAGTCCATTAAGAGAAAGGCTTTTTGGAAAATTGTGTGATGACATGGGCTCAGAATACAAAGCACTACTTATTATTGTGAAGCACGTTGGCTTTCTCGTGCTAAAGTACTTCAAAGGTGTTTGAGCTCAAAAAAGAAATTGCCATTTTTCTTGCTGATAATAAAAGAGATGAAGCAGACATATTTTATGACACGAAGTTTCTCGCAAAATTTGCGTATCTAGTTGACATTTTTAAAAGACTAAGTGATTTAAATAAATCAATGCAAGGAACTCAAATTCATGCTTTTGTTCAAAAGGACAAGATTACGGCGTTTATGAAAAAAATAGAGCTGTGGATAGCTAGTATGAAAAGTAATAACTTTGATATGTTTCCTTCTTTTAAAACTACATGTGTTACTGATGATGAAATAGAAGCAAGTAAAGATCTTATTATCAATCATATGACTAGTTTAAGGAACCAATTTGCGCATTACTTCAAAGATTAATGGATTAGAAATCCA